CGGAATCGGGGATTGAACTCAGGCCCTTGCACTTGCCAGGGAAGCGCTTATTCCACTGAGCATCTCCCTGGCCCCCTAATATAATATATATGATATATAAAGGACCAATAATAGCCTGCAGAGTCCGACAGAGGTAGGGAAATGACAAATGGCCATCTGCAGCTAGAGAGCTGGAGGATCCAGGCACAAGTTGAAGACCTGGGGCTCCCTGCAGAGTCCTGTGCAAGAGTTGGTATGGGGAAGCTGAAGGCCCTGTGTTGGAAAGCTGAATGTGTGCTGGCAGGCTAAACAGTCTACATTGAAAACCTGGAGACAGATATCCAAAGGTGATAAAAACGGGAGTTCCTCTGAAGGAGGAAAAGAGACCTCCTTCTTTCCCCTTTTTATTCCATGCAGGCTACAAGTTTATTAGTTGGTGCAATCCACATGCAGAGTGGGTCTTCTCTCTTCAGTAAATCCATCATCCAGACACTCCCAGAACTGTGCTAATCTTCAAGGCATTTCATATTCAAATTAACATCACAATTAACTGTTGCAAGATCTTTCCTGGCACTTCAGAATTCTTAGCAGCATTCCTAAACTCCACCCATGTGTGTGGGCAGAAGGACACTTCCCATTATTAACTCCCTAACCCCAGACACTCTGAATATTTATGCTGCATGACAAGGGGGGACTAATGCTACAGATAACACTGCTTTGTAGGTATAATGGTGATTGCCTATGCTCAGCACTTGGGAGGCTGAAGCAAGAGGATTTGCTCCATTTGAAGGCCACCCTGGGCTACATAGTAAGTTCAAGTCCAGCTTAAACTACACAGTGAGACTATGTCTCAAAAATAAATCAAAACAGAACAAAAAGCATTGCAAATCAGCTGACCTTAATATCACCAAAGTTGCCACAATTATCCAGGTAGACCCACTGCACTCACAAAGGTTCAGGTGACAGGAGAAGGCACTGGGAGGAAATGTGATAAAAACAAAACTAAGCAAGAGACTGGAAGCCACAGAATACAGGGAGCTTCTAGCAGCTTAAAAGGCAAAGTCAGAGCAGGTTCTGCCTAGCAGCCCAAGAGTCTCCAAAAGGGAACACAGCATTTCCAACACTGAGATTTTTTTTTTTTCCACCAGGGATCAAACTCAGGACCTTGCGCTTGCCAGGCAAGTGCTTATTCTACTGAGCCATTTCCCTGGCCCCCAACACTGAGATTCTGATGCAAGGTAACCACATGGGACTTCTGAAATATCGATTAGTAAGATAATAAGTCTGTTATTTTGTTTTGTTTAAGATTTATTTATTTATTTGGTACAGGGTCTCGATATGCAGCTCGGGCTCATAGTAATCTTCCTGTCTCAGCCTCTCCAGCGCTGGGATTATAGGCATGTGCCACCATGCCCTGTTTCAGTGGTTGGCACTGCGGCAAGATAGCTCAGTGGACTAAGTGCCTGCTTAGGCAAGCGCAGAGACTGCCAGCCACAGAGACTGGGGAGCATTGAGAAGGCTCTTTCTCTCTCTCTCTCTCTCTCTCTCTCTCTCTCTCTCTCTCTCTCTCCCCCCCCCCCCCTCAATTGGTCTAGGCTCTCTTTAAAAAAAATTTTTTTTTTATTTTTGAGATACTGAAGATCAAACTTAGGCGTATTCATGCCAGGTAAGTACTCTGCCATTGAACTACATCCTTAGCTCTATAGGCTTTTGTGTGTGTGTGTGTGTGTGTGTGTACATCAGACTTTCTTGCAGTAACTTTTATGTTTTCAAGAATAAGTATCATCTCCACACTTAACCTGGTGATAAGCCCCTGGCAGCTGGTGGACTCCTGCACAGCCTGGACCTCCACTCTCAGACTGTGCACAGGCATCACCTCACCTTTCCCTGTAACATCTGTCAGGGTTGAAGCTGGTTATTGGATCTCAGATCTTCTTCCCTATTCTGGAGAAGCAAACACTATAGTTTCAGGAAATTCTAGTTTCCAGTGTTTCAGGATTATAAATCCACTGCCTTTCTTTCTTTCTTTCTTTCTTTCTTTCTTTCTTTCTTTCTTTCTTTCTTTCTTTTTTTTGGTGGCTGGCTCAGCCTTCCCTGGGGGTGGAGCAGGTGTGGCATGTGGTGCTGGGGTTGGAACTTTGGTCCCTGCTATTGCCTAAGCTTGCCTAAGCAGGCACTTTAGACCGCTGAGCTATCTCACCAGCCCTTCAATTCTTTTTGAGAAACACACACACACACACACACACACACACACACACACACACACACAATGCTGGGAATCAGACCAAGAGACATCCTAGGTAAGCACCCTAGCATTGAGCTATATCCCCAGCCCTACAATAGTTTTTTGTTTTTTGTTTTTGTTTTTTTTTTTTGTACTGGGAATCAAACTCAGAACATTGCACTTGCCAGGCAGGTGCTGTGCCACTGAGATATATCTTCAGCCTTAGAGTAGCTCTTTGTAAGGCTTCCTTTGGTTCTCTGGTCTGTTTTAGTTGTCTTCCAGTTTGCTCTCCTTGTGAATTTGCAGGAATTTAGCTCCCTGTTTACGCTTAGAAATAAGACTCTACACAATCCTAACTGAAAGTTCTTTTTGTGGGGGCAAGATTTGTAGAATGGTGGGCTTTACCGTAGAAGATGGGCCACAGGCAACTTTCCATTCTCTAATAAAGTGGAGCTGGTTTCGCCAGTGGAAAATCCCCTAATCTCCTGCTGAGGCTGGATGGAGTGAGTATAGGAACCAGGCGAGAAGCAGAGCCCAGACCTCAGTTCAGTGCATGCACTTCCCCACACTAGTTTGCAATCAACCACTTCAGCCCACCTAAGTGGTTCTGAAAATTCTCATCAGGTTCCCCAGAGGTCGATAAGAGCTCTGTAAAATGAGTCACTGTCCTTTATTTCCTGTCAGTCCAAAGTTTGTTTCTATCTTTCATTGGCTGCTCTCCCCTCCCATTCTTTTTTTTTCTCCCTTCCCATTCTTTATGCTGTTGAGTTAATAGCTATTTAAGTTGTTTCGCTATCTTTTTGGTGGGGTTTTGTGAAGGTGAGACAACATCTACATATAGGCAGCCATCTGGTTTAATTTTTTTTTTTTTTTTTTTTTTTAAAAAAAAATTTTAAACGCAAGGGCCGGAGTTCAAACCCTGGGTCCGAAAAAAAAAAAAAAAAAATTGGGGGAGTGGCACCGGGAAGCAAACTTAGAACTTCATGCTTGCCAGGGCACTGTGGCATATCCCTGACCCCCACCTGGTTTAATTTGTGGTGATCTGTTTTGCAGATGAGGACGTTAAAGGCTTCATGAGCCAACCAAGATCACCAGGAAATAAATGGCAGAAATGGATGCCAAGCCTAAGTTCACACCCTCCCCCTAATATTCTTTTTTCTAGAAGGTTCACGTTAGGACTATCTCTTTTCCTGGCAAAGGTGAGGCAGGCTCCTAACAGCTGCAGAGTCATGAAGCTCCATGACTTAGCAGGATCCACACACATGCCCTTGCACTCCTCTGTGCTAAACAGCAGACTGGGTTGCACTACCAGGACAAGAGTTGAAGCCTCTTTTCCAGAAGGACTAATCAAGACTGTCACATATATTTTCCAATAGAGGTCTGCCCCTAGCTAGAAGGCTGGGGGCATGATAACAAGTATTTGGGTGTCCAAATACAAAAGGGGCCTGAACTGGGTGGGTTCTTGACAAGGCTACTAAATTTATTTACTTATATCATGGTTCTGGAGACCAACTCAAGGCTTTGCATATTCCAGGCAAGCAGCACTCTACCACTGAGCTATACTTCCAGCCCATGCTGCTAAACTTAACAGATGGTATGGCAGCTGGGCATGGTGGTACATGCCTGTGGTCCCTGCATTGTGCAAGGCTGAGACAGCACTGCAAACTTGGGCCCAGCCTGGTACTTAGTGATAGAGCAAGTTGCTGTTTCAAAATTTTATCTTTTTGGGACCGAGAATCAAACTCAGAACCTTGCCAGAACCTTGCACTTGCCAGCCAGGTGCCTATGACGCCGAGCTACCTCCCTGACCCTTGTTTTAAAGTTTTAAGAGGATCTCGGCATGCAGCCCTGTGCAAAGACTCTGGATTCAATGCCCAATGCTGGCAACACACACACACACACACACACACACACACACACACACAAACACACGCGTGCGCGGTCCAGTTAAATAATGGATTTCAGAATAAACAAAGCATAATCCCTTCGTGTAAGTATGGCCTATTAGTAGTTGAGTGATGCTTTCAAGGTTCATCGGAAATACACTAGACGCCCAGTACTTCATGCCGCAATCGTAGCTATAAGCGTCCACGGAGAAAATGGCTGGCCAGGTGGCCGCCTGACTGACAGCTCCGAGGTCCTCCAAGAGACCCCGAGGCCCTTCGAGCGGCCGTAGAGGGCTAGAGCGCCCAGCCAGGGGGAAGTCGCTGCACGCACTTCCGCCGGGAGGAGCAGTTGCCGGGCGGGGCCGTGACGTAACCCGGAAGGGGCGGATGCGCCGGGAGCTAGGCCGCGCTGCGCTGCGCCGCGCCGGCTGAGGGGGCCGGAGCCGGGCCATGGCGGCGGCGGTGGACGCTGAGGGCCGGCCTGCGGTCCTAGAGGCAGTGATAGCGGCGCCTCCGGAGCGGGGCGGTGGGAGCTGCGTGCTGTGCTGCGGGGACCTAGAGGCCACTGCTCTGGGACGCTGCGACCACCCGGTGTGCTACCGCTGCTCCACCAAAATGCGGGTGCTGTGTGAGCAGCGCTACTGCGCCGTGTGCCGCGAGGAGCTGCGCCAGGTGTGCTGGCTGCGGGGCGAGGGGGCGCGGGTGCGGGTGGGCTGTGAGGCTTGGTCATCCTGCCGTCGCCGCCGAGAAGAGCTCGGGGACCGCCTGGGTGGGGTCAGGGAGGGAGGACGCGGCCCGGCCCGCGGAGGAGGAAAGATGCCCGAGGGGACTTTCGCCCCTTAGCCTGGCCACAGAATGGGACAGTCAAGTCGTGGGTACCCTGACTCATCTTTCTAGAAGTAGTAGAAAGATGTAGTAGATCACTCCTCTAGGTTCCTATCGGGATGGAGGAGACAGGCAGGGGAACCTACAGAGGCAGAGTGCCCTGGAAGCAGAGAGTCCAGCTGTGTGTGTTGTCCGCCCAGCTGGATTTCTGGGCTCCTCCAGTCACTGTCACAACTCCTAAAACGGGCGTTTTCGTCTGTAGAGTGTAAGTGACCCTCGCACCTGACTCTTCCGGGTGTTTGCCTGGTGGGGACAAAAGTGTTAAGAAGTCTTTCTCTTCCTTTCCACTTGCAGCTGTGGGGCTTCTTCTTTCCAGAGTGGAGAGGGCACGTTTCTAACTTTGTAGATTTGGAACCCCGGGGAGAGGTCAGAGGGCACATGGAGCTTTCCTCCACGTTCCTAGCCATGCCAGCTGCTAGGCAAGAGCATCCAGCTGGACCTCTCTTGGTTTGCTGCCCTTAAAAGATCTGTTTACTTTCCGGATTGTGAAATCCCCGATTTTTTTTTTTTTTAAAGGTTTTTAAAATTTTTTTTTTTTTTACCATGGACGGTTTCTGCTGGTGGCATCTGGATTTCCTCTTAGAAGTGAAGCAGGGGCCGGGGAGACAGCTCAGTGGAATAAGCGCTTCCCTGGCAAGTGCAAGGGCCTGAGTTCAATCCCCGGTTCTGGAAAAAAAAAAAAAAAAAGAAGTGAAGCAGAATCAGCACTTGAGCAGTAGGTTCTATTAAGGAGTATTCCCTGGGCACCTGCTCTGTGCCCTATTGAAAAAAATCATTTGGAATGGTGTTAGTCTGTAATGTGGAAGGAGAGATCTGGGGTGTAAGAACAGTTGAGGAAACCTTTTCCTCTCTGCTTACTCAGAAGACACCTCCTGGACTTGTAGGAGCCTGTTTTGCCAGCCAGTCTTACACAGAGTGATATAACTCTAATGGCCAGGTTTCTTAGCATACCTGTAGCTTCTTTCAAGCAGAAGGGCACTGTGAACATTTTTTTTTTTTTTTAAAGTACAGGGTCTACAGGGTCTCACTATGTAGATTGGATTCTTAGTGATTCTCCTGTTTTCAGTCTCCCAAGTGTTGGGATTATAGGCCTGCGTGGAAGTCCACACCCAGTCTCAATCTGAATCTCAGTGCGCCCCCAGTGCGGGGCCAGCACAGCAGGCTAGGGGATCAAACCCCCAAAGTCCCAGGCCCTACATCTTTGAATGTGAGACCCTAGCCCTGCTTTTGGGTTTCACTCAGGAAATGAATGAATACCCATATATTCCTACAATAGCTAGCATCTGCCAATTCCTTGTGGGCTCTACACTTTCCAAGTCTTCTGTGTCTGGAGCATTGTTTGACACAAACTGTCAACAGGCCCTAGTTGGCACTGGATGCCCCTCAGCAAGCCTGGGCTTCCTTTTAGGCTTGCCTTGCAATGCTGGGCAGCAGGTAGCAGTAGTGGCAGGGATTCTGGGAAATTTGCTGTTTGGTAAGATGATGCTGCCAGATCAGCTTTGTGGTTTTGTTTTCTACTTTTGAGACAGAGTCTTGCTGTGTACTTCAAACTGGCCTTGAACTATTTTCCAGGTTGGCCTCAAACTTGCAATCTCTCCAAGTGCTAGGATTATAGGCAGGAGTCATCATTCCCAGCTTGGTCTTTTTGTTGTTGTTGTTGTTGTTGCGGAACCAGGGATTGAACTCAGGCCCTTGTGCTTGCCAGGGAAGCGCTTATTCCACTGAGCCATCTCCCCGGCCCCTTTGGCCTTCTTTCAATCCTGAATTTGCAGGTTCATGTTAGTTTTTTTCCCTTGCTGAGTACCATATTACTTTCTGAATATGTCCTCATCCTTCAGTGACCCTTGGCTTGTGAACCTTGCTCCTGCTTTTGTCTTTCTTTACAGGACTAAATCTGTGAAAATTGAGAGAAGAGTGCCAAGATTCTTGTGAAACAGATCAACTCCATTTTCTGGTTAATTTTGTATACCTTGACCTTCCTTGTCCTAGTCCAAGGTGGGAGGTAGGATTGGCAGGGAGTGAACACAGGGCATCTATGCAGCTGCTGGACAGGTAGAGAACTAGGTCAACTTGGACTTTGCAGCAGGTGCTCAGGGCAGAAACTGAGATGGCTCAAACTGATGGGAGGGTAACAGAAGCACTACTTTTCTTGGACCTGGCTGATCAAGACCCTGGGGTGGTGTAGCCTCCTCTCTTCTTCTCTAGACATGTTTCATGCACCATTTTTTTCCCCATTCATGTCTTGCTTTCAATCTTGACATGCCTTTGTTTGTTGCAGGAGTCCCAAGGGGACTGCATGGCACCCAAGGCAGCCACACTCCTGTCTCATGGGCAGGAGGAAGTAGGGAGGTACTGAATGCCAGCCTAGGGTTATCCCAAGGCCCAGGTCAGTGGACTGAACCTGGTAACTCAGATTATATTTGTTCCATTAATATCCCACTGTATCACCATGCACTGTGCCTCCTGCCTCAGTCTCTGTATGGTTATTTTTCTGCTTCCATCTGTGTGGTGAGAGTGATTCCCAGTGGCCCACCTGTGCAGTACTTCCTTCTCACACCTAATGCCTCCTTTTCTTGTGGCCTGATCTTCATTGCTTCCCTCTTGCTGGTGCTTGTTGTTCTACCTGTCATATTGTTTACTCTTTTTTTTTTTTTTTCTCGGAACCGGGGATTGAACTCAGGCCCTTGCGCTTGCCAGGGAAGCGCTTTATTCCACTGAGCCATCTCCCCAGCCCCCTTATTTACTCTTTATTGAGTGCCCACTACATGGTAAAAGTAAGGAACACCAAGACCTCCAAACAGATACCCACACTAGTCTATAGTTTGATGGAGTGGAGGGTGGGGGCTCTTCCTAAGTCGGCCTCACCCCTCTCTACCTTTCAATTTTTTTGGAAATTGATCTGGCTATTTCTATGATGCACTTGGGACAACTCTTCTCCCCTTGGACCTGCATTGTCCATGGTCCTTTTCTAAACCTTTTCTCATGGTTCTGGTCCCTTCATGAGCTCATCCAGTGCCTTCTTCCCCATTTCTCAGCCTGGCTTAGGTGTGCCCTGCCCGGGCCATTTCCACTGGGTTGCTCAGGAGACAAATGTTCTTGGCCTCCGTCTTTTGAGGTGGATGCCCTATCCTACTATGCAGATAGACTCTGTCTAAGCTCAGTTCTGTGGTCCCTTGACACCTACTCCTGCCTCTGCTGCCTGTGCTTCATGATACTGAGGCCCTGGTGGCACAGTTTTCATGTGGGACCTTTTGGCTCCTGTCCCCACCTTATCCCAGGCTACTATGTCATCTCCCTGCTTCTCCTCTTCCCACAGCTGTTTCTGGCTTTAAACTGTGCACAGATATTTTGTGGGCCTGTAATGTGCTGTTATGGTTGGGACATGGATGCCACAGGGCCCAGCTTTGGTAAGGACAGACTGGCCTATGGCATGGCATGGCATGGCACTGTCTGAACAGAGGCAGCATCCTAGAAAGACAGCAGTAGAGACTGGCTACCCAGGAGGGGTGCCCACATCCCAGGGGCAGATGGGCCTCTGCTATGCCGTCCCAATATGCCACCAAGGGTGTATCTGAGTGCACAGCTGAGGAGGGTGCTGGAGTCGTGGCAGTGACGGGGGCGTCCCTGGCACAGATTTCCTCAGAGGAAGGAAGTTGTTCCTCCGCTGCGTCTGTTGGGCTTGGATGCCTTTTTGGCAGCTTTGTGGAGTTTCCTTGCGCTGCTCTTCTGGCTGCCTTGCAGGCAACACTGGTCTCCTTGATCTGTTGCCTCTGCTGCCTCAGAGAAGCTAAATAGGGTGTGGGCCTGCTTAGTGTGCTGAGCTCCTGCTGGCATTTCACAAGGGATCTTGTGCTCTTTGTTCTGTCAGTATCCAGAGTGGTTTATGACCGCCTGTATCTCCCTGGGTCTGAGCCAGGGGTACCCTGGCAGCTGCTGGAAGGCAGAGTTGGGCATGAGCCACAGGAGGAGGGCAGGTTGTATAAGAAAAGGCCAGCACAAAGCCTAAGGACTCTGCCCATGTGTGGGCATGAAGAGAAGCTGCCATGGAGGGAAGAAGCCAGGGGCCCACAGGAGGAGACCCTGCCATGACCTATGCCATTTGTGATTTAAATCTCTCCTATAGAGCTGCACCTCTCAAAGTGTTGGGAGTGTATTGCCAATAAAGTGCCTGCCTGAGTTTGGCATTTAGTGATTTAATGTATAGCAGGAGACAAAGTCAGGTTATGAAGTCATCCTGTCTAGCCTTTCCAGACAAGGGAGATAAAAGACTGCTGGGGCCACTGGTGATCTCCCCCACCTCCCCTTTGAGTATAGCTGCACCACAGCAGCTCCCTGGGCTCCTGATTTGGGTGGGGCAGGCACAGTCTTGGTGTCCTCTCTTCCAAGTGTGTCATGGCAGAAGTAAAGCTTATTTTCCTGACTCACCCCACACCCTCTCAAGAAATCAGCTTTAGTTACTCTGCTGCTGATGCCATGTGTGGCCATGAGCATGCCTGAGGCTCATTCACTCTCCCTGGCTGGTCCAGAGCTTGCCCAAGTTCACATGTATGCTGGTTCCAAAAATCCTGGCTAAGCCTAAACGTTACAGGGGTGACCTTGATGTGACATTTCCCAAGGCAGAGATGGTTTTCTGTATGCACTGGGAAGGCTATCTAGAGCTGCTTTCAGAGCTGAGCTGCCATGTATGACCAGTATCAGGCTGTCTGGGTAGTGACAGAGAGGAGACAGGCGTGGGCCTGATCTGGGGAGGGATGTAGTGGCAGAGGTTACTGTGGGGGTAAAATGCTGAGTCTTCCCCAGAATGGCTTCATGGAGAGAAGTGGGAAGAAGCCTGAGTCTGTAAGGACGTAGGCCACTGTGAAGATACTGGTACAGGGGTCTTGTTATCTGATCATAGTCTGCTGCTCAGGTTCTATGGAAGAACAGAGTACGTTGACAGTTATGCCCTCAGTCCTTACAGGAAGAGACAGAGAGGAAGGGTCCTTTGGCCCTTGACACATGGCCCTACTGCAAAGATTTCACAGCTGTGCCCACTGGGCCTGCACAGTTCATGCCTGGGCCCCACACAACCCATAGTAATATGCAGGAGCTGTGGAAGACCCTATCTTCTGTGCCATCATGCAAACAGGGAGGGGGTACTAGATGGTGAATGGCCAGGTCTTGACGATAGGTCACCTTATGCATCCTAGGTTGGCAGTATTTATTTATTTATTTTTATTTTATTTTTTGCAGTATTGGGGATTGAATTTAGGACCTTGTGCTTGTCAGGCAGGTGCTTATGCCACTGAACTATATCCCAGCCCCTATTTGTTTGTTTATTTAACTCAATTTTATTTTTTGGTACTGGAAATCAGACTCAGGACCTTCTGCCTTATGTCCCTGAGCAATCTCCCCAGCGCCTGGCAGCATTTATTATTTCCTTAGCTGCTTCCTGTAACATGTCCTTCCCTGCTTTCTGTGCAAGCTCTTCTGTGGGCAACCCACATTCCTATCCTCCATTGGGTCCCTGTCCCTCCAGGGTGGTTTTGGATTAAGAGTCCAAAGGTGAGTGCTGAGGGCCTGGTGGTATGCACAGCTGCCCCCTAGTGGAGAGTCTGGGTGTCGTGTCTGTCCCTACAGCTACAGCGGGTGGTGATTTGGAATGAGGAGAGGAGGGCTAAGCCAGCCCAGGAACTGTGTGGCTGTTACCTACATGGAGTCTTGAGGGGCCCCCTTCTCTGTCTCTGCCTTATTCTTGCATGGACATACAGGTTGTGGTTACCACTGAGTCTTGTTTTTGGCTCCAGGTGGTCTTCGGGAAAAAGCTTCCTGCCTTTGCCACTATACCCATCCATCAGTTGCAGCATGAGAAGAAATATGACATCTACTTTGCAGATGGGAAGGTGTTTGCACTCTACAGGTGAGGGACCCTTGTCTGGAGGGTCTGCAGCTCTTCTGTGTCTGAGGTTCTTGTTTTGGGGTGGGTGTGTCCCCCTTATCTCATTCCCTTCACAAGTCTGAGGGGGTAGGCAGACCTCCAGTGTGTGACTAATGTCAGGGCCCATACTCGTGAGAATCAGCTATCTGCTCTTAGGCCCGTTGCCTTTCTTCCTAGACCTTGGTTCCTTTCCTATGATGGGGAGCTTCCATGTCTCCTGTTTAGGGTTACAATGGAGATGGCGCAGGTACAGCCTGTGCTGGCTGGGTTCTTTGAGGGGCATGAGAGCATATGCAGCTATGTTCTTGGCTGTGACTCAAAAACCTAGTAGGGGGAAAAAAAACAAAACAGTAAAAGGTGCAGCTATTGTGGATGGTTTCCAGCCTTGCAACCATGGCCTTGGACCCTAGGCCCTGAGCACTGTTTTTTCCCTATGCATTATGACACTCACCTATAATCCCAGCATTCTGGGAAACTGAGACTGGAGAATCTCAAGTTTGAACCAGGACTGGGCAACTTAGCAACTCAATGACATTCTTTTTTTTTTTTTTTTTTTTTAGTAGAACCAGGGATTGAACTCAGGCCCTTGTGCTTGCCAGGCAAGCGCTTATTCTACTGAGCCATCTCCCTGGCCCCTCAATGATATTCTTAATTAAAAAAAAAAAAAAACAGAGGGGCTTACCAGTTAGCTCAATTGTTTAGGGGCCTGCCTGGGCAAAGCCAGTCAGGCTTGTGGGACTGTAGTTCAATCCCCAGCCCCATATGCCACACCACTCCCACACTTAAGGTAGCCAGAGCCAACCAAAAAAATAAAAAAACAGGGATGTAGTTCAGTGTGAAGGTAATCTTGTACCACACACACGCAGTCATTGTCTGCATAGCTTGAGGTCAAGACTCCTGGGTGAGACTCTGATCAGCAAGGCTCTAATGTTTCCCCAGGCAGCTGCTGCAGCATGAGTGCCCACAGTGCCCCCAGCTACCACCCTTTGGCCTCTTCGGGGACCTGGAGCAGCACATGCGGAAGCAACATGAGCTCTTCTGCTGCAAGTTGTGCCTGAAGCACCTCAAGGTGCGTCTGCCCTAGGAATGGAGTGGGAACAGATGGGTGGGCTATAGTCCTGGGGAGCCTGGGCAGGTGCCACACAGCCACCTGAGTTCAGCACTCATGCCTCTGACTACACGTCTTAGCCCCCAAAGACCTTCTTGTTCCTGCAGAGCATCAGGCTGCTAGCAGCTGGGGCATGGTTTCTGGTGGCTGTTTGAGCCTGCTAGATTTCTAGCACTTGTCATTCAGTGCCCTGGGACAGAGCTGATGCCAAGCAGGCCCTCTTCTCATCATTGTACTGCCCGACTATAACAAAAGTGGGAGGGCTGGTAGCCCCCACCCACTGCACATCTTCCTATTCTCTGCAGATATTCACATACGAACGCAAGTGGTACTCACGAAAGGACCTGGCTCGACACCGTATGCAAGGAGACCCTGACGACACATCACACCGAGGACATCCACTTTGCAAGTTCTGTGATGAGCGCTATCTGGACAATGACGAACTGCTCAAACATCTGCGCCGTGACCACTACTTCTGCCACTTCTGTGACTCAGATGGGGCCCAGGACTACTACAGGTGGGTGGGTCAGGGCTACTGCCCAGGGCACAAAAGGTGACCTTCCCCCAGAGGCTACAGAAGAAGACAAGGGAGGTGGCCTCACTGGCAGTCTGGTGACCAGTGAGGTTCCTGCTAAACTCTGATGTCTCATCCCACCAGCGACTATGCATACTTGCGGGAGCACTTCCGAGAGAAGCACTTCTTGTGTGAGGAGGGCCGCTGCAGCACAGAGCAGTTCACTCACGCCTTCCGCACTGAGATTGATCTCAAGGCACACAGAATGGCCTGCCATAGCCGCAGCCGTGCAGAGGCACGCCAGAACCGCCAAATTGACCTGCAGTTTAGCTTCACACCAAGGCACTCACGCCGGACTGAGGGTGAGCCAGGCATTTCAGGGCTGTGGCCTGGCCTCGGTGCTCCAGGCTAGGCAGCAGGGTCCATGAGGCCTGTGCCTGCTCCTGAGGCCTCAACTATGGGTCCCCTGCAGCTTAGCTGGGATGAGCTCTCCACTCACCCTTGGGGCTATGCTCTGAGCACTCAAACACAGTGATAACAACCAGTAGATCTTCACTCCCCCTGTGTTCTGCAGTGTTCTGCATTTGCTATTCTTGGGTCCCTGGGGCTGTTTCTGGTTCAGGAAGCTGTTATGAGCACAGCTCTGTATAGACCCTGCCCATTTGCAGAGCTTGCTGTGACTTGGCTGCTATGGACTCTGCAAGGTGTCTGGGCTTGTCCCCAGGCTCATGGCTGCGGACTGGGGAACCTCTCCTTCAATATGACCTGGATGGCAGACCCATCAGTCCTTCTGCCCTGTTAGGGGCCAGGACAGTGACAGGCTGTATGCTGACCACAGGGGTCGTCAGCGGTGAGGACTATGAGGAGGTGGACAGGTACAACCGCCAGGGCCGAGCGGGCCGGGCCAGCGGGCGTGGAGCCCAGCAGAGCCGCCGAGGAAGCTGGAGGTACAAGAGGTGGGAGGATTTGTGTGCTACTGATGTTCTGGCACTACCCAGGTGCCAGTGGCTAGTAACTAAACTAAGAGTAGACACAGGCCAGAGGACCTCAGCTTGACTCCTCAGGTCCTGAGTGTGGCAACAAGGTCTGCTCAGTGTCCTCCGTGAGCAGGTTCTTCCTCTTTTTCTCTAGTGCTAGCCAGAGACATAAGGACCAGGGATGGGGGTGGGGGTAAGTAGAAGAGCTCTTAATACTCAGGAGGTCAGTACAGTTTTACTAGAAAGGGCTCTCACAGCAGGCATATGCCAAGACTGTCTCCAGGCCTTGCTCAGCCTGAAGTCACCCTCCCAATCCTAGGGAAGAAGAGGACCGAGAAGTAGCAGCTGCCATCCGGGCATCTGTGGCTACTCAGCAGCAGGACGAGACTCGTAAAAGCGAGGACCATGAGGAAGGCAGCAGGCCCAAGAAAGAGGAAGGAGCTGCCCGGGGTTCTGAGGAGCCCCATGGTCCTCGCCACCTACCCCGTACTCAGGGTGAAGGCCCAGGTGAGATGAGCCTGCTTGCTGGCAGCTTGCCCAGGTTCAGGCAGGGTGTGGCCAGCACCTTCCCTGGGAAGTAAACACATATCTTTTCTGATTCTGCCAAAGCTACCCCCATGCTCTGAACTAAGGGTTGGTCCTCTCCCGTCTTATAGGCCCCAAGGAAGCCTCAGGAAATGGTCCAGTAAGCCAGGAAGCCAGCCAAGGCCCAGGTCCAGCAGCTGCCCCTCTAAGGTGTGTGTGAGGGAATAGTGTGAGGGGATAGTACCTGTAATGGGTAGGTGGGGGCAGGCCAGGGCCTGGTGAGTTGCTGACCAGCTCTCTCCCCCCTGGACCCAGCACCCTCCTCCCACCTACCCCAAAGCTCAAGGATGAAGACTTCCCCAGCCTCCATGCCTCCACTTCCTCCTGTTGCCCAGTGACCGCATCAGGCCCTATAGGGTTGGCATTGGTATATCCTGGGGCTACCAGAGGCAGGAACACTTTCCAGGAAGAGGACTTCCCTGCCTTGGTGTCCTCAGTGGTCAAGCCCAGCACTACTGCCCCTAGCCTCATCTCTGCCTGGAATAGCAGCTGTGGCAAGAAGGGGGCTGTGCCCACCCCTGGGGCTCAGGCTACCAGTGGGGGTGGCCAGCCCCCTAAGAAGCCAGGGAAAGGTAGCAAGGGGTGTCGGAAGGCTGACTCAGTCCCTGTGGAAGAAGAAGAGGGAGGTGGCCTCACTGTGCAGGAGCTGCGGGCTATACCCACCACAGTGGCTGTCTCTACCCTGCTGGGATCAGCCTCCACCTATACCTCCACCAAGGTCAGCAAGAAGAAGAAGGTGGGCTCTGATAAGCCTGGCGCCGTGCCATCCCCTCCAGTGCCCCCTGAACGTACACCAAATCACCCTGGAGCTGAGCAGGTTCTCGACATCTCTGTAAGCCGAGCTGAGGGGCCAGTACCTGTCATCAATGGACACACTGAAGGGCCAGCTTCAGTACGGAGTACCCCCAAGGAACCCCCTGGGCTTCCAAGGCCTCTGGGGCCTCTCCCATACCCCACACCCCAGGAAGACTTCCCTGCACTGGGAGGACCCTGCCCACCCAGGATGCCTCCTCCTCCAGGTATGAGTGGCCAACTCCACCCAATGTAGATTTTGGGAGGGGACCTAGGGGCACAGATAGGCTTATATCCAGAAGTATGATGTTCAGCTCCAACTCCCAACTTATGGTGGTGGCCAGTGCATTACTGGCCAGCTACCTCATCCCTAAGTATAGCCCACCTAGTTCTCTACTTAACCTGTGTTCCTTCCTTCTCTGTGAAATGAATCCCAGAACTGTGCTGGGGCTGAAGGTGCATGAGCTGACATAGGTCAGGTCTGCCATGTGGTAGGGTCTGGCCTTGGGCCTGCTGTGTTGGAGGTATGATCTATAGACAGAAGTCTCACCCAGTAGGCTGGATGGTCCAAAATAGCCACCAAGGGCCATGTTTGGGTTTTGTGCTGCCCTTCAGGCTTCAACACTGTGGTGCTCCTGAAGGGTGCCCCACCCCCACCCCCACCAGGCCTGATGCCTCCCATCAGCAAGCCACCCCCTGGCTTCTCCAGCTTCCTACCTGGACCCCACCCAGCTTGTGTCCCCAGCCCCACCACCACCACCGTGAAAGCGTAAGTGGGCTGGGCTGCCTGGCTTTCTGCTACTCGGGACCAGTGGAAGGATTCCCCCCACTAGCACACCAAAGCTAAAGCTCCCTTCTCTTGTCCTCACCCCAGACCCAGGCTAACACCCATACCACGGTCCTACATCATCCCTGCGAACTTCCAGGACAGGAATCTCAAGCTTATCCAGTCTATCATGGTCTTCCTGCACAGTGATAAGGCCCGCTTCAGCAAGTTCAAGAGCCACTCCGGGGAGTTCCGAAAGGTAGTGGGAAAGGGGTACAGGGAGGCCAGCCTGTATTCACCAGGCCCTGGCCTGGGGCCATTGTAACTGGCTGGATTATCTGGGTGGCAGGGAATGATCTCTGCAGCCCAGTATTACAGGAGCTGCCGGGACCTGCTTGGGGAGAACTTCCAGAAAATCTTCAGTGAGTTGGTGCTGCTATTGCCTGACATAGCCAAGCAGCATGAACTGCTGTCTGCACACACGGACTTCTGCAGCCGTGAAAAGCCTCCTGTTGCCAAGTCCAAGAAGAATAAGAAGAATGCATGGCAAGCTAACACCCAGCGTATGGGCCTGGACTGTTGTGTGTGCCCTACCTGTCAGCAGGTGCTTGGACATGATGATGTCAGCAGCCACCAGGCATCACATGCCCGGGAGGATGACTTCCCCTCCCTGCAAGCCATTGCCAGGATCATCACGTAGCTCCTGGCAGAGTGGGCAGCTGTCACACCTATGCAGTTCCTTTTCCCTTCCTCCTCTTGGCTGCCAGGCAGCCAGGTTAGGCCCTGGGGAGGCCACTGCTCAGAGCCTGCAGTTGGCCAAGCCTGCTGGGAGTCACCAGGAAGGGCTGCCATGGGCTGACAGCACACTGTTTTGTCTCATTCCCTGCTAATTAGTGAGACAGTCTTGGTTTGTATTTTGTGCTTTGGAAGGTGCCAAGGAAGAAAAGGGCTGGGATGCTGGGAAGTGTGTCTGCAGTCACAGCCACAGGCCACAGTAGCCCAGATTGGGTCTCCTGAGTCTGAGACCTGCAGCCCCCAGAGCCGAAAGCTGTGAGTCCACTGGTGCTGGGTCAGATGTAGAGTGTGTTGTGTAAGGAGTTGACTTTCATAACTCAAGAATGTTGGGGATTAAAGCAGACACAAATTGTGCTACTTGAAGTTGAACCTTTTTACAAGACAAGCTGAATCTGTGATCTTAAATTGTCTCTGACCTTTTATAAGACAGTTTATCTTCAAATAAATTTTATTTTGCAGTACTGCATCTAGCTTGTGTCCTGAGCTTCTGTGCCTTCCAGTATAACTCAGAATCGAGGCACTTAGATCAGATTTATTAAATCAACAGCTCAAGGTCAGTTTGTGAACACCAATGTGAAGGAGACCTGTTGACAGCTTGGTCCTGCTCAAAGGATGAGGTCCCAACTCTAGTGTGGTGTGGTGAGTCTGGCACTGCCTATGCCTTCCAGGAGCATATCCTGTCGTGTTTGGCAGTACAGTTGAATACCTAACAGCAGCAGTGGCAAACCTGTACTGTGGGTGCTATATAAGTATATCATTGAAAAGTTCACCATTGCTGACCTAGGGAAACTGATCTTCAGTAATTTGGTCATAAAACAAAGACTTAAAATTTATATCCACAGGCCAGTGAAGAACTGTTAAGACACCTATAATCACACTTGGGGAGCCCGGGAGATGGCTCAGTAAAATAAGCACTTGCCTGGCAAGCTCAAGGAAGGGCCTGAGTGCAATCCCAGTTTGATCTCCAGTACCAAAAAAAAAAAAAAAAATTCATAGATCTGGGGAGATAGCTCAGCAGCATAAATGCCTGCCTCCTGGGGTGGCACACAGCTGTAATACCAGCACTTGGTATGCTGAGGCAGGAGAATCATTGAGATTTTGAGACCAGCCTGGGCTACAAAATGAGCTCAAGGCCAGTCTGAACTGCATAGTGAGACCCTGTCTCAGACAAAAAGTAACACAAATCTCAACATGCCAGGAATGGTGGTATGCTCCTATAATCCCAGGATTTGAGGAGTTGAAGCAGGAGGATTTCTGCAATTTGGGGACCAGCCTGGACTACATAGTGAATTCAGGATCAGCCTGAACTATACAGTGAAGAAAGAAGAAGAAGGAAGGAGGGAAGGAAGGAAAGGTGGAAGGTGGCTGGTGGTATAATTCAATGTGAATTATCTGGATTCAGTTCTTAGTACAGGGGGAGGGGAGGAGTTTAAGCATTCTGACACTGACAGGCAGCACCAGGGGCCCACAGGTTTGAGACCTGTGGGGAATGGAGTTCAGGGGAATGGAATTTTCTGTTGGCAAGAACTAAAGTCCAGGGCCAGGGAGATAGCTCAGTGGAATAAGTGCTTGCCTGGCAAGCACAAGGTCCTGAGTTCAATCCCCGGTACTCCTCCCCCCGAAAAAAGGAGCTAAAGTCCAAAAAGGGTGATTTTCCCTCTTGTTCCACCTGTTGATCACCCCTAGGTTCAGGCAGAGGCCTGAGCAATCACAGCAGAAGAGCAGGCTAAACAGAGGTCTTGTTTCTCCAAAGGCTGGAAAAGGAAGCCCAAAAAACGGAGGTACTGAAGGGGTCAAGAAGATGGGAGCTTAGGAAAGTAACTCAAAGTTACAAACCATTCTTCCTGATGCTGCACACAGATCAGTACATCACAGACTTCACCATCACCTTGTCTCAGCTTCCAATTGGGCAGCTGGGCAGATATGAGTAGCACCATAACCCTCGTAATAGAGTCTAGGCATCCACCAGAAGGTTGGGAGAACCTGACCCAAAATAACCAGGTCACCTACCTGCTAAAACAAAAATATACCCAGGCACAAGTTCTTGCCCAGGTAGTCTAGCAAATTTATGTGCGGTGCTGCGGATTACAATTATTCGTTAGCAAAGTCTAAGTCCTCTCCCTGCACCCCCCTCCCTGCCGGTACCAGGGATCAAACTCAGGACTTTGTCCTTAAGAGGCAGGTGTTGGGGCCGGGGAGATGGCTCAGTAGAGTAAGTGCTTCCCTGGCAAGTGCAAAGGCCTGAGTTCAATCCCTGGTTCTGCAAAAAAAAAAAAAAGAAGGCAGGTGTTTATGCAGCTGAGCTCTCCTTGGCCCATAAGTCCTCTTTTTTCCCCTCTTTGGTTTTTTTTTAATTTTTTTTTAAATTTTATTTGTGTGTGTGTGTGTGTGTGTGTATGTGTGTGTGTGTGTGTCTAGCTCAGCCCACCAGGGGGCAGGGCTGGCTGGCATGTGGTGCCGGGGGATTGAACTGTGGTCCCTTTGCTTTGCTAAGCTTTTTCTAAGTAGGGCTTTAGACCACTGAGCCATCTCACTAGCCCTTTTTTTTACTCTTTGTAAGTCCTCTTTTAAAGTGTGTCCTTCTACAGGTATTCTGAAGCATAGGATATCAGTTATCTTTCCATCATTATTGTTTGTGACTCTCTTCTCACCACTTGGAAATTGTGTATATTAACATTTTTCTGAGTGGACTGAGGTAGATACAAATAAGATCAAGCTGGGGCTGGAGAGATAGCTCTGCGGTCTAAGAACCTGTCTTGCAAGTGCAAGGACCTGGGTTTGTGGGCTGGAGAGATGGCTCAGTGGTCTAAAGCACCTACTTGGAACAAGCTTGGCAAAGCACAGGGACCACGGTTCAATCCCCCAGC